AAGGACTTTTCCACGACATGATCTGCATGGCAACCTCTGATCCACTTAGATTCGGATCTGACCTGCCTTAGAGCATACCAATGGACTTGCATCAGGTTTTTGCCCTCTGTGTAGTGGTAATAGAGAAGTGAAGTCCATTTGACGGCTTCGTTAAGCTTCGCTAGAGCACAAACAATCGCTGCCATGCTCTTCTTTCGAGAATTCAGGCCCATAGATGGTCAGCAGTCTAGCGTCTCACTTGTTTCACTCCAGTACAGAGGAAATAGAGGATGGTGGAGGCTCCGCCTTTGGGTTGTGGTTTGGTTTTGGTTTTTTGTTTTTGTTGGGTTGTCTTTGTCTTCTTCTCCACCATCTGACTGTATTTCCCTTCCTTCAATGATGACTTGGGCACCATGCCCACACGGCGTCCGTACTCGTGGAAAAAAAGACACCTTTGAGCAATTTGGCAACCCTGGAACGCATTGTCTGCAATGCAAACCACCGTGACCGGCAGTGACGATTCGAAGCTGTCGACAACTCTGCCAGGCCTTCTGCTCCAACAAAATGATGGCTCCAAGTCGCTGCTTTGCAGGAGACGATGTTCTAGCAGTTCTGCAACCCAAGCTTTTGTTAATTCATCATTGAGGGCGGCGTTTTCACTGAACCATTGATTTAATGCTGCATCTTTGAGAGCAGCGTTTTCACTGCTTGCTTTCTGATTTTGGCGTTTTTTCTTCATGCTTGGTCTGAGATCAGCTGTGTCTGAGATTAGCAAGAACCATTTTTTGAGCACGGTGGTTGTTTTTTCTGATGCTTGGTCTGAGATCAGCTGTGTCTAAGATCAGCAAGAACACAATTTTTGAGCACGGTGGTTGTTTTTTCTTCATGCTTGGTCTGAGATCAGCTGTGTGTGACAGCAGGAACACCATTTTTGAGCACGGTGGTTGTTTTTTTCTTCATGCTTGGTCTGAGATCAGCTGTGTTTGAGATCAGCGGGAACACGATTTTTGAGCACGGTGGTTTTTCTTAATCCTTGGTCTGAGGTGACTGAGATTGGCGGGAACACTATTTTTGTGGAGCCTCAAGTCGCTGATCAAGACCTGCAGGTGGATCTCAGACGAGGCTGATCTCCAACTGCAGTGTAGAGCCCCAAGTCGTGGGGGCAGCAAAATGGGGACAGGGCAGGGGACTGGGACAGGGAACTGGCAGGCACGGAACTGGGACAGGGAACTGGAGGGAGGGAACTGGAACTGGCGATAGAGAACTAGGAGCAGGGAACTGGGCTGATCTTTAACTATTGCATGTAGAACCTCAAGTCGCCGATCAAGGCATAGAGGTGGATCTCAGACGAGGCTGATCTCCAACTATGTAGAACCTCCATGCACCGTCTTTTGTTTTCAAGGAACTCCAACCTCCTCCATCAGAGTTGCCCAAAAAAGTAGCTGACACACCCTTGTGTCTTGATAGCATCTATTGTTCACCCTCCGATGAGCCATGTTTGAAGCTTCATTTGCAGAAAAGAAGAAGGACTGCAGAAGCTGAATCTGGCCTCCAAAACCCTCAAATTCTCTGGGACCAATTTACTACCCCCAGCAGTAGTTCATGGGGCATGCATGTCTTCTTGTTTCAAGGGCGCTTGAATCGCAACATGGAGATGCTGAGATTGTCGAGACTTGTCGAGACTTGTCAACAGAGTCCTGCCTGCTAACACTTCCTGAGGGCGACGTAATGTCATGTCGCTTCACCGCAATTGCTCCCGTTTGCCATTTTGGAGCCACTGTCATGAAGCACACACTTATCACCGCCTCCCCCTTCGGGGGGGGGGTCAAGGACGAGGGACTGCTTGTCTTGGTTCATCTCGTCCTACGTCCTCTGCAGGTCATTACTTTCGTAAGTTTGGCACTCGTTTCCTCGGTGCATCGTTTTCTCACAACAAGCCCTCGGAGCATAGTTGGCTGTGCTCAACCAAATTGCGCTCTTTGCAATTATTCCTTGGGATTTTGATCGCAGAGTCAGAGACAGTTATGAACATCCCCTGTCTCAATTTGTCGAGATGGCTGTGTTGGAAACAAGCTGTTACTTGCTGTTTCCGTCACTTGCCAATGTGACGATGTGTAGTTGTAACAAACTGAACTCTGCCTGAGGCAAAATCGTGCTCTTGGACATAAGTCATGATTCGCCTTGCCACAACGCTTTCGTTCGCAGCGTTCCAAACTCCTGTACACTCTGGGCCACTCCTGGTGCATTTGGGCAAGCACCAACGTTGTCACACAGGTACTCACTGCCCGGAAAAAGGAATTTCGCTACCTCCTGTTCTTCATGTACTGAGCGCAAACAGAAGAATGAATTCAACGCCCCGTCTCACCTCTTTCTCACGACAATCACTTCGGCTTTGATAGCCCTTATGAGAAACGAATCCGGCCTCTGGTGTTTGGCGTGTTGGTTTTGGTGGTTGGTTTTGGTTGTTTGCTTGTTTTGTTGCGTGTTCTGGTGCCTGACTCGTATCTCCTAGTATCCCTCTTTAATTCGATCAAGGTGACTTGTGCCTTTCGGCACGCACAGCGCCTCCACCCGTGCAAAAAAAAAAGTTGATCAATGTTATCGGTGATGGTGTTCCTTACTTCAAGGTCTTGCTTGTTAGTAATTTTAGTTGTCTCGTCGGCAAGAATATTGCCTAGAATGGAGTAGAGATCATTAGTATCGGCTGACTGCAGTGATTTGTGGGATTTGGTCTTAAGAACCCGAAAGTGAAACGGATCCCAGGTCGATCGAATCTTATGAATTAAATCACAGTGAACCATCTGATGCTTCTTGTAATGAACAGTTTGTGTTGCAATGGCCTCAATAATCTTAACAACAATCTGGGAACCTGTATGCAGGTCAACAAAAGGCCAAGGTATTTGCTTAGAATAGAAGTCAGAGACCCATGCCGCAGCTCCAAATTCACCCCGATTAATGGACTGTGTTCCTTGCACGTGTGATGTTTGGAATACTTCAAAATAATGCACGGAAGGGTCTTGAGAGTTTTTGTGCACCTGGCGAATTACTTCCCATGCGGTTCTACAACAGTTTTGTGATTTCGACCGATCCCATGTTCCGTCTGTATACAGAATATGTCGATCCACAGATGCATGAATAACCCGGTCAAGAAATGGCCCCGCGCGGGAAAATTTAAGCCTTTGATATGCTACTTCTTGGGGATGAACAGTGGCCAATGGGAACCACATCAAGTGCGGAGGTTGTTGGAGATATTCAACAGCATGAGTGTGAGACGAACGAACATGAGCAAAGTCAGGACAAGTGAGCATTCAATGTGAGTGTGAATCTACAGCACCACAGAATTCACAGTTTTCGGAGTGAGTGTTATCCCATATGGCTTTGACTGCGGAGGTCTGAAAACCCTCTGTCAAGTTAAGGCACAACAGTTTTAAGCTCTCGGTCAGATACTGTAATTGCTTGTTAATCTTCATTTGTATGTATGCATCAAAAGGATAGGACGTAACCCCTTTGCGATGACTGACTTGGGAGAACACATATGACCAGGCGCCCCGCTTTGTCCCTGGGTCGATGTGGCAGACACCACTTCCGACCACATAGAATGAGCCAACGTTGGATGGTAGTAAAACAGTCGACGAAGTGCGCAAAGCCCTGTGACAACTACATAGAGTTGTGGATCCACGACTTTGTTTGATACATATTTCCCTCCAGAGCATCTGTGGCAAGTCGAAGGGTGACAAAATGGGAATCACTGATGATTTGGCTCTCTGCGCCATAAAAGGCCAAAGGCCAAACAGCAGATTGTACCTTTCCGGCTTTATCTGGTATCGTAAGATCAAGCTTTTGAAGCCGGTACAGACGGCGTTTAGCGGATTGAATACGAGTCTTGAGACATCCTAACACTATTCTTTTGCTGTACTGCATCATACACCCTAAATCACGAGATGCAAGTTTAACTTCAATATGGGTATCATTCCATGGAAACAATTTCTCAGTATCCTTCCAAAAAACACGCATCACGCTATTGGTTCCCCAACCCCATGACTTGCCAAGGTCAATTTTTATCCTTAGTGTCTGTGCGAAATTGAGAGTATTGATCAGGGCACGGAATAACGAGCGTTGGTCAGTAGACATAAACGTCCAGTTATCTGCATACGTGAAAGGTGTCACCGATATGTTTGACATGCGATGAAAGAAGGTAGCAGCAATAACTAACATAGCAGAAACCGACATAGCGTCACCTTCTGGTGCTCCCGTTGTAGACCGTACCGGTTGACTACATTGGTTTTTGATTTGGAGCATACGGGACATATTGTTAAGGGAACGAATCCAGAGCCCTACGGCATCTTCAGGTGCTCCCCATTCGACCAAAAGGTGTTTGGCTAGTTGTCGCGGAATAGTGTTAAATGCTTTAACGAGATCCAAGGTGAAGCCATCATAATGACTGTTTGTCTTATGAGCCTGCTCAATCAGATGTTGCTGCTGCATGCTAATGTCTTTAACTGCTCGAAATGGAAGGCCACCTGCAATCTTTGGATCCCATCTATCGCCCCATGAGTTCAAAAGCTGATCAGCCACCACTTTGGAGGTCAATCTTGGGATATAACCAAGTATCGTGATGGGTCGTCCATCCGAAACGTACTAGGCTGTGTTGTCTTGGCCAATAAAACAGTACGGGCTAACACCTGATTGGGCCCTCCATCTATCAATCCGGGGCCTTATACGATTTCATCTTGGATATCGTGTCACGAATAATTGTGGGATCGTCCCATCTTGGAATAACTGGTTGTGGAGTCAGGTCAGGTGCCAAATCCTGCAGTGTGTCTTGCCACGTTTTACTGTGACAAACAGGCTGTGGAAACATGGTGGTGCAGCAACCTGCCTTCGCTGTGTACAATGCATTACGTTACACATGCGTGGGGATGCTGTGCTTGCCATTGGCAAATGGAACTATTGAACTAGATGCACTTTTGCGTTTGGCTCAAGAGTTTACTTTGCTTGACACAGTTGTGACACAATACAACCCTACCACCTGAACCGCATTCACTCTTTGAGACGACAGATTCGACTGACAAACCGACGATCGAAAGAAACTAACGACAGATTGAAAGAGTGGTGGGATTTGAGGCAACTATTTGCTCAGGCGGACACGTGTATTCAAAAACAGAGTTGGCCATTGCCAAATTCACGGTGTTAACATTTTTTGCCTAAAAAGGGTTCCACCGTGTTGTTTTAAAAACCAACACAAAAGGTAGCAAACAGGGTGTGAAAATTCTGGGTGGGTTTTCGATGGTTGCAAGTTTCGTAGTGGTTTTGATGTTTAATTGAAACAATTGATTCAAGAGATGGTTTAACTAATCATAACTTTTTCAATCTCCAAAGATTGCAACAACCAGTTTTGGTTGTGGTCATGAATGGGTTTTCTGGGGAGGTGAAAGCAGTCTTGCCTGAAACGGCAGGTGGCCATGGACGAGGCGGTTCCGGTGGATCCGGCCGCAAAAGCCGAAGAGCCGGAGGCTGTGGGGCCATCGCTAGGCTAGTAGGTTGCCAGCCCCTTTGCTCCTAGCTTGCCACAAAAAGGCGTGTTGGATCTCTTGTGACATTCATTGCGGCAGGTAGTGCAGTCCGCAGGAGGCGAAGAAAAGAAAGGTGCTCACGCTGTATCCAAATGGCAAAGAATGGTAGAGCATTTTTTGGCATCTTTTAGGTGAGAATTCATAGAAGGTCCATTTGTTTGCGACTGTTTGAAAGATTGCGTACTTGTTTGGTCAACACCAGTCAGCCTCGGCAGTGGGTTGTGAGTTCGTTAGGTGAAGAACCATCGACCAGTGCATGACCTGGCTGATGCAACTCTTGTTGAGTGCATAAAGCAAGCACAATCATACGAACTGTGTGATGAGGTCACCTCTAAAAGAACAATCTGCCAGTAGGCATGCAGGGTGACACTCGTATGGGCAGTGCAGCCATGTTCTGCAAGTTGAACCTTCACGAAACCTGAAGTAGAGCGTCGAACTAACCAAACCACCCAATGTTCAGCATTTTTGGGAGAGCAGGGAGAGCGAGATTGTGCAAGTTTTTGAGGAGTACTCTTCGCCTGCACTTTGTAGGGGTACACCTGAGGCTTCAATGTGGACGCACCAGCCTTCCAACCCAGAGCAGACCCGGTGCGGTCTCTTGGTCGATTTTTTCGAACGAATGCTCATATTTGGTGAGACTTGCAGTTTCACGAATGGCTGCAAATTTGGTCACTCTGTAAGTCTGTGTGGAGAAATTGAGACACGATGCACCAACGAATGAACTTGTTTCTTTCTGTCCCAGATAGCGATAGCTATAGGCTATGGGGGTTCTTACTTCTCAATGACTGGGTGCCTGTATTCCATTTTGGTTTGCTGGTGCTGTGTTCGCCGCTGCTGCCTTGTCGCCCCACTTGCCTTCTTACATCATGTCTCCCCATTTGTCCCACGGGCTTGCTAGGCTAAGAGCAAAAGATGTGCTTCCGTTTGAGTTAGTTGCCATCAGAAGAAGGCCTTTAGTGTAATTTTTGCCTTTGCCTTTAGAAGGTATGCCACGCACCCAAGGATGCGGTAGTCGTGCATCAATTCAAAGCGAAGCATAGCATGGGAGAAGCGCGCTTGGGCTTGAGGATTCAATCAGGTTATGAATTCACAGCTTCCAATGGAATATCTCGGGATCTCGTGTTCGTGAAGTTCTTGGTGCATACTACATTCCATGCTCTGTTGCCACAAGTATGATGGGTGGCTTCTACTTATCAATGTGTGTTTTTGTTATGCTTCAGTGACAACGCACGTGAGGGCACGGAGGATATCATGCAGAAGTGTCTTGGCTTTCTGGGCCGTGTGATGACAGACTTCTTTGATTGGATCCAGTTTATCATTCCGGGCTTGTGTGAAGCGGAAACAAACAATGCAACAGCGAACAGCGACAAGAACAAGACCTTCCAACCCTGTCAACTTTGCCAACAGTTGTCAACAATTGATATTGCAGTAGTGTGCCTATTTCATTGAAGTACGAAACGTTCAACTCACAGGGATTGTCCTCTTTAAGGTTGCAACCGCGCCACAAGCAGATGCTTCGTGGCTTTTACCAGGTGGGCAGCTATTCAAACTTGTTTTCTGAAGGTGGATCAAGTTAATTTGCGCACAAAGTTTGCACGGATGTTTTGATAGTTTCACTTGTTTGTGAAATTAATTGGAGGCCTACACCGGTGAGTATGCGAGCTACTATGCCTGGTCCTTGCTGGGAAGCACCAAGAGAAGAAACGAAAAACACTAAATGCCCTTTGTTCTTAGTAGCTTCTTGCCACTAGTAATAAGGCCAGGAACCCCTAGTAGCGTCCTTGCTCCTAGTAGAGATGCCCTTTGCTCCTAGTCGCAACGAGTTCCGAGGTGGGCCAGCTGAAGACCTTCAATGTGAAGAATGGCTATGGGTTCATCGAGCCAGGGAACCAGTGGGAGGGCTCCGGAATGTGGAACTGGAACTCATGGAATTTGGAAAACTCCCGAACTGTTGGAGTTTTCATTGGTTTCCTTTCCCTCCTTTCCTGTGAATAGTCCTTTCTTGGTCTCTTTCCGACAGTAAAGGTGCAAGCAAGCAAAAGCAGACTGGGGAGTGGACGTGCGCCTGACTGGGTTGAGATCAGCCTGGGATTTGTGTCAGAGTGGGGATGCTTATAGATTGGATGGTCCCGAGGTTCGCATGCCCATAGCCGATAGAAAGCCATGACAAGCGTGGAATGAGAGAGACCAGATTGGAATTTGGACAGTTCCTGCACGGAGATGGAGTACCATGGAGAACCATGAATGGTGTCCTTTTGCATGAGCAGAGGTATTTGTTCACAAGAACAACGTTCCAACACCGTGGACGCTTGGGCAGGTGCGAAGAGAGTTTGAAGAGAGCAGGGTCAAAAGAGCTAGAGCAACAGAAAAACTGGCTATGGCTTCCACTAGTCAAGTCTCTCAAATCTTCGCAAAGAACATGGAAGAGAACTAATAACAAAATAATGAAACAATTAAATAAATAAATAAATTTGAAATAACTATAGGAACGATAACAATAATAGGAAGTATAAGAAAACTAGAAACACAGGAGGCCATCGCTAGTAGGGTGGAGGCCATCGCTACTACCCTCATGAGTCCGACCGCCCCTCGCCGCGTGATCCGCAGCCCGTGGAGTTCGCAGTGCAAATGAACCAGAGGGGGCAACCTCAGGCCCGGGGCCTAGGAGGGCGGGACATTTCTTGATGGTTAGGCTGGTCCACTTACGTGTACACTGACCGGTGGCCGAGCGCATTTGCAGGCCTATGACTGCAACTGGCTGCCCAGACTTCCACAGACCAGCATTGTGACGTGGCAAGAGAGATCAAGATTGCTCGTATCAATCACTCATCATGGAAATAGACTGGGTGGAAATTACCGTGCACATTTTCTATAGCTGAAGGGAAACTGTATTTTGTTCGAACTTCTGACATCCCGGACAAGCCAGGCAATTGACCAAAAATGCCCAATGACCAAGCATGAATGTGGCTTGGGTGTTCTTCCGGCTTGGCATTCATGCTATTGGCCTTCAGAGAAAACACTTTCTTGGCGCTTGATGGCTTTCCGAGGTGACTCCAGGTACTGTGCAGGGCTGCCAAGTCGGTTCAGTCTACCAGAGGGCGCCTCCATGTTCTCCCAGGTTGAGGTCCAGTTCGGCATCATGCCTCACGGAATGGTTTTCCCTTCTGATTCTAATTGCATTCGCAATATTCAGCGGATAAACAGCTTTGGAGATCCATTTAACTCCGTGGTCAAAAACAGAGAGCAATTCTCCCCACTCAGGCCTGTTGTGGCAGGGAAGGGTTTGATCCTCAGTGCAAGTCTACCTTGGAGGCCAGTGACCGACCATTTTGTGCACTGTGCCACAGCACATCCAAGTGCGGAGAGACCGAGGCCCCTATTCCGGTTCAACCCCCGCTGCAAACTGAGCACTCTTAGGTGCACTTTTGTGTAGGGAAGGAGGGAAGGAGGGAAGGAGGGAGGAGGGAGGAGGGAGGAGGGTGCAAGCAGTGCAAGCTTACGGATTGAGGAGTCCAAGAGAAGTGTGAGTAGTGTTGTGCAATTTGTCACTGCGCCAAACTTAAGAACGATTTCAAGGCCCAGGCAGCGGACAGCAAGGACAAGGAGAAAGAGAAGGAGAAGGAGGAGATCGAAGAGAGCTTGCTCTTCGCCCAAGACAGATCTCGCTTTCACTGTCATTTTCAGCGTTTGTCACACTCTTTATCCCTCTTCTCTGTTCTTCGCACCCTTGTCATTACACTCTTGACCTGTCTTCTTCTCTGCAGGTCGAATGAGCCACGGCGTTTGGGGACCCTGAAAAGCTACTCCTCTCAGCATGGCCAGGGCACCCAAGATGAGACTTGGCGTTCCTCCATGCTATGTTACTAGAAGGCTTTATTGTTACTAGTAGCGATGGCCTCCAACCTAACAGCGATGGCCTCCACCTAGTAACAGGCTATGAGTTTCATCAATTGTCGGTTAAGGCTATGGCTTCATTGCCTGTACAGAGACGCACCAGGCGTCCCTTCCAAATTTTCGGTACAGTTCAGCTTCTCAATTCCAGTTCCGCTATTTTTGGATAGGCTTACAAGAGAGATGTCTATTTGGACAAGAGCCAAGTGGGCGCAAGTTTGGGCCCTTGGTGCAAACGAGTTGGAACAAATGCAAGGAAGAAATCCGACCAGAGGTCGAAATCCTGTGCTTTCTCATCAATTCTCAAGAGAACTAAGTTTGTGTTTAATCAAGTTGCATGTTGTTTCGCAATGGAGTCCTCTTTGCATCTCTCTCTCTCTCTCTGCTCAGCTTGGCAATGGAATCAGCTGCTGGAGTTCTCCGTGTCCTTCAATGACCGTGGACAGCCACAGGCGAAGATAAGATTCGTATTTTGAGCTCAGACAGCTGAATCGTCAGACTCCAACCTTTCCAGGCCAGACAGGTGAATTGGGAGCCAGTGCCGTGGTCCCGACATGTTTGGCGACGTCCCGTGGTCGTCCCGCGGTTGTCCGGTGGTCGTGGCGAACTGAAATGCTTCGTGCGTGGCTTAGCGTTTGTTGCCAGGCTCACTGGCGTGCAGCAAGCTCCCACCGCCAAGAGGACGCATATTGCGAAGAGAAAAGCAGTGTTTTTCACAATTTTTCAGAAAATACAAATCCAAACATCTAAAGATGCAAGAGGGCCGGGAGACCAAAATCGACTTCTTCGCTTCTTGGTGAATGTTTGACGATAAATTTGAGCCACACTCGATGCCACTTTTTCTTTTTTAAATTTTCGGATCGCATATGTACATTTTGGCGCGTCCAATATCCGACATGGTTTGTGCAGGCCTCTTCTTTCTTGTCTCCTGACTTGAATCTTGCATGATGTTGCCAAGAGTTGCTTTTTGTGCCATATCACATTTGCATGCATTGTTATTTTTGTTTTCAGATTCTCATCGTGTCTCTTATCTCTTCATTTATTCTTAGTTTGCTACCCTTGTCACCCCTCCGTTGAATTCTGGAGGACCTTTGCGGCCAAGACCATCGATCAGCTGAAGCGACTCCTCAAGCTGCTCGGCCATCGAAGTCATGCGATGTGAGCAGCAGTGGCAACACTTTTTCTTTTTTTTTGCATGTTGGAATTAACTCAAATTTGCTTAACTATGCACTATGCGCTTTCCTTTTTTGCTCCAAGTTTGCAAAGGACAAGTTTGTTTCCCGTGGAGGCTTTTGCACGAGAAGAACAACGAGACGGCTGTTGTTACAGCCATCGACTTGTGGCCTGGCAAGCGTGCAGTTGCCAGTGGGGCAGTTGCAACTCATAGGCAGAAAAAGGAGATGAACAAAACAAGGGAAAAAGTGCCCCTTGGGGCCTCTATCAAAGGGACCCTTACCTTCGTTTTCACATTTCTATTTCTTGTAAATTGCCCTTTAAACGAGTCTTTGGCATTGGATGGCTCGTGCTTTTGAGGCAGGGAGGCTCTGGTGCTACAGAGACGAATCAGGCTCGGAGCTGTTTGGACTTTTCTAAGACAAGGCTAACAGACTTTGAGTCGTCGGACTTGCACCACTTCGCATTGATTCCAATGTCTTCGTAGAGAACTGTGCGAGCAGCCGAGGATGACCCAGATGTGGAAGTCTCAGATGTACAATGATCCAAGGTCCTTGCCAAACACCAAAAGGAACTTGAAACATCAATCAAAGCAATGTGAGTACTACCATGAAGATAAAAAAACTGTGTATATATATATATATACACATGGTACACCCCCCTGCGTATATATTCGGTTGGAGGCCATCGCTTCTAGTTTGGAGGCGATTGGTCTTGGGTTGGAGGCCATCGCTTCTAGTTTGCAGGCCATTGCTATTAGGTCGGAGACCATCCCTAGTAGGTTGGAGACCATTGCTATTAGGTTTGAGGCGACCATTGTTAGGTTGGAGGCCATGGCTTCTAGTTTGGAGGCCATCGCTATTGGCTTGGAGGCCATCGCTTTTAGTTTGGAGGCAATTGCTATTAGGTTGGTGCTATCAGGTTGGAGGCCATCGCTAGTAGGTTGGAGGCCATTGCTATCAGGTTGGAGGCCATCGCTCTAGGTTGGAGGCCATTGCTGTCAGGTTGGAGGCCATCGCTTCTAGTTTGGAGGCCATCGCTTCTAGTTTGGAGGCCATCGCTATTAGGTTGGAGGCCATGGCTTCTAGTTTGGAGGCCATCGCTGTTAGGTTGGAGGCCATCGCTTCTAGTTTGGAGGCCGCTGCTATTAGGTTGGAGGCCATCGCTTCTAGTTTGGAGGCCCTTGCTATTAGGGTGGAGGCCATGGCTTCTAGTTTGGAGGCCATTGCCATTGGGTTGGAGGCCATTGCTATTAGGGAGGAGGCCATCGCTAGTAGGTTCGAGGCCATGATTATTATAGGTGCGGATGTTTGCCGTTCTCAAGTCAGTCCATTGGACGACAAAGATGTGAGTTGTTCCAAGTGGGACATTTCTGTGAGTTGAGGTCGACTATGTTTTTTTTGTGCAGCTTGGCAGTTTCAAGTTTCGGTGTGAGTGCCTGCAGGTTTGGGGTTTGGCATGACTTGGAATGCTTTTGATTTTGTAAATTCTGATGTTGTTCTAGATGTGGTGTTTGGAACCGTTCTTTTTCGAACGTTGTGTATTTGCATGTGTTTGCTGCCCTCTCATCTGCTCGCATGCTTTTTGTGACTTCTCAACTTTGCAGACTTCCTGTTTTTTCCGGGCTTGGTATTCTGAGGCTGGATCGACTAGGCAACAAGGCTTGGGTGCAGCAAGATTGGACAGCTTGTTTTGCCTAGTATTGATCTGTCTCTGTCGCTGTCTCTTGTCTTTGTCTCTGAAGGAATCCTGAAGATGTGTCTCCGGTAGTGGCAAGAATGACCGAATGACCTATGAGCTATGAGTTCTTGGGAGTGTTTGTGTCTTTGAAGAACTTGGATGTCAAATTGTTCAAGTAGTGAAAAGACGCACCGCTTAAATTGCAATGCCATTGTGGAAGGAAGATGCTCTGAAAAGCATCAAGGAGAGGAAGAGCATCAAGGGTCCTCACCAGTGAAGCTAGATCTGATGACAGCCAGCTTGATCCGGCAACGTTTGAGTTTTGTTCACTTCACAGAGAAGTGCAACTCTGGTGGCTGCTTGGAGTTCTTTTCACAGGGATTTATTAATTGAAAGAGCCTCGAGGGCCTGGCTGTTGTAGCGTCCTTGCTCCTAGTAGGCTCTTGTTACTAGTAGTAAGACCAGGAGCTACTAGTAGCGTCCTTCCTCCTAGTAGAAATGCCCTTTGTTACTGGTAGCTTCTTGTTCCTAGTAGAGCCTCGAGGGACTGGCTGTTTTCTTTAGGGAAACTTCATTGGAGGACTTCGTGAAAATGCTCTTTGTGCTGATGCTCTCTCGCATGTTGAAGCGCCCTAGCTTACAATGAGTGGCTATTGTTCTTGTTTTTTGTGTTTTTTTTTTTGTGTTTTAGCTTAAAGCAAGCACATCATACATGTTCATACATTCTCATACTTATTCTGAGTATGTTTGAACACTACATTATATAAACTATATATATATATATGTTTTCCGTCTTTACTTCAAAAAATTGATCATATGTTGAAGTGCCCGAGCCCACCGTGGAACCTTATATAGCATAAATGTGTTGCCCGCTGGGTCCGCTGAGAAGCCTCTTCGGAATCGATCACCAACGAGGCTTCCAATCACGAAAGCTAGCGAAGCTAGCTGGAGTTACTCTTGCGATAGCAAGGTTTCTTTCGACCGGGTGCAAATCCTAACCCCTGATTTTTCAAGTCGAAGACCCCCCCTGAAAAGTAGAGCCTACCTGTACAGGGTTCCACTCCAACAGCTGAT